ACAGTGAAAGTCAACGGGTTCTAAAACTACAGTGGAATTGTACTGAACTTTCATTTTTTGTTTTGGTCTTGGTTCTTCTATATGAAATAATGCAACGATTAGTTTGGCTCTGATTTTAATTGTGTTTGTGTATGTTGGTGGATTTTGTTGGCATGGGTTTGACTGTGTAGTGAAGTATAAGATCTGAATATGCTGCCATGACTCTAGTCATTGTTTCTGTTGTTGCCATGGATGAACCTGCAGTGCTTGTCTTCATCAGAAACGTTAGATCATGTTGTCATTAATAGATGTCATTAATTAAATTGCTGTGCCAACAGCAGATGAATTAAATCAGGGTGAGGTGTCAAACCAATGCTGTGATACAGGCTGGTCTGTACGCACATGCTACTTTCCTTTTTTCTGTTAAATATTACTCAACTTGATTTAATGCATATCGATTGTGGGTGTGTGTGTGTGTGTATAGTTAGATGTTAGATGTATAGTTAATTCTTAGCCTTACTTAATTTATGGATGTTTAGGAAACCAACATGAAAGCTATTTGCAACCCAGATTTTTTTCTTTCTTTCTTTTCCCCCCCCCCATAATATGACATACTTTTGAGTGAAAGAGGATAGTCAGTGAGAAAAAAAAATGAGGACAGGGCTTGACTTTATCATTGAGGAATTGATTGGATTGTGAAAAGTCTCTTTATGACAGAGGGGAGAGCCTGAAAAATAAGAGGGCTTCATAGCATCAGCTTAAAATAAGTCATAGAAAGGTGAAGCAAGTCATAACATTTTGATTTGGTGTTGATGAAGGCAAACATTTTCTTTTTCTTTCTGTGCAAAATGATGAATTGTTCACAGTAAGACCAGTATGCAGAAAGCCAAAAAAAAAAAAAAAGTTCAAATTTGACCTCAAGGTGACAGAGGAATGTCAACAAGAGTTGATGTAACACCTTTTATGGGAGTGTGGTGTAAGTCATGAATCACTGGCCTGAAATTACGGTGTGTTTTGAGGAGTAATAATAGGTATCATGAACATCAGTCACGTCAGCTAGCGCTCAAGAATGTCAGTGATGGGGTTTGACCACAATCAGAATTGAATAAATGCGTAACTAATTAATTACAGAGTGTCTATTATCACTGAAAGCTATTTACACTAGCTCCACCAACCGCTGACTGTTCAAGCCAGACGAAATGAAGACGGAAGCAGTGTGGTAACAGAAACCGTGTTGTGGCGAGTAAAGGGGCCTGTGCCCGGGTTACGTTTGAAGTCTGGTACAAATATGACATAGGCTACAAAAATACATAGGCTAAATAGCCTCATTTGTATCCACAAGAAATCATTAAAAGATTGCGATCGCGATTCAAACGCATGCAATCTTATTCTTAAATGACGATTCCGCTATGGCAATTAAACTTCTGAAATCACATCGGAATATTTAAACCTGCTTTCGCGTAGCCGCTGATCCAGAGAGAGCAGCGCTCATCATGTAAGCTTTATGTAGGCTACATTTCTGTTTTGCAAACTTTAGCGAAATAATAACGAAAGTATTGGGATAACATATTATAGTCCAGATATAGACTCTGATGTTGCGGCAGCTGCAATCAAAATGAGTAATGAGTAAATTACCTTTGGAACTAGCCTAATATTATGCTTCAAATATTTTGTTACTTTATGCCATTAAGTGGCGACCAGTGTCTGTTAAAATGTATTTGATGTCTGAATCATTTATTCAAGAGATGCGTTCAAAAACTTTGGACGAAACAAGTCTTTATTCGTTTATTTCAAATGATTTTACATGATTTCATTTAAATGAATACATATTTTTAAATAGACACAATCTTTAAATAGATTTATATCATTAAATAAAACATTTTGTCAGAAACTCATTTTGTTTGGTTGTCTAATGTTTGTTTTCAGAGTCGAAAACAAAACATTAGACAATGGTCCCCCTCGGTCCATTCGTCACGGGGCCCCCTCAAGCACGGTGCCCGGTGCGACCGCACTAGTTGTACCCCCCCTAAGGACGGCCCTGGATATGACGCTAGTTTCACTCAAATGCTCAGGAAGTGACTCTCAGAGCAGTTCTGGAGATGTTGTTCATGTATTTATGCCCTCATTTCGAGAGACAGCAGACGCTGAAATCACCGCGCTCTTCAGTACGTGTGTACAGAGAGCAACATACAAGATTGATATTTAAATAGTCTTTTTGCAGCTTAATATTTACAGATACTAGTCTCGCGATTTGATTTGAAGACCTACTTTAGATGAATTCATTCAGACAAATTCCATGACATTCCGCGTTATACAGTAAATTCCGTTTTTATGACTGGATTCTGCGATTCCGTCTGCTTTTTCTGCATCGTGGAAATCATAGGGCCCTATTTTAATATAATCAGATACACTGAATATGCTATTGCATACGTTTTTACAATGTACTATAATACACTGAGGTACAAATAGTATTTGCCACTATTTACACTTAGTGCAAAGAAAATACCGCTATTTTCACAAATAAATATTGCACAAAAAAAAAAGACTATTAAATAAAATAAAATCATGATTTAAAGAAAATAGTCGGTGAGTAGGGGATTTGGTTCAAAACATTTTTTTGTTATGCTGGTTGGAAGGTGTAGATCATAAAATGTTTGTTCAATCACTTGCCTGACAATGTATGTATTTGCATACCTCCGTGCACCCAGTTAGTGCAGAAATGATACGTGATCAGCGCGTACCATTACGCTACTGCAGACAGAGCGAGAATGGAAGGCATTTGATTGTGATATTATGCGCTTTGTGAAGTGATGTTTTCTCACCGGTGAGCGAGACATGAGACTAATAAATAAAATAAAATCATGATTTAAAGAAAATAGTCGGTGAGTAGGGGATTTGGTTCAAAACATTTTTTGTTATGCTGGTTGGAAGGTGTAGATCATAAAATGTTTGTTCAATCACTTGCCTGACAATGTATGTATTTGCATACCTCCGTGCACCCAGTTAGTGCAGAAATGATACGTGATCAGCGCGTACCATTACGCTACTGCAGACAGAGCGAGAATGGAAGGCATTTGATTGTGATATTATGCGCTTTGTGAAGTGATGTTTTCTCACCGGTGAGCGAGACATGAGGTAATCTGACAGCGCTGACGCCGTCTCTCACTGTGCCGCTGCTTAGCCTCTGCTCTGCCTCTTCGCAAACACAGGTGGCCGACACATGCACACTAGAAAGCTTCATGTTTGTCCAGTGTCTGCACTATTTTTATCCAGAAGTTATGTTAAAAATGCCTTTGTACTCTTTTAAATTAAAGTTGCGGCAATCTCATGACTCTCTCACACATGCGCTTGTCAATGCAGCCTGCAGTCTGTTGTTGGTGCAGTCTCTGCTATTTTGTTGTTGTTGTGTCTCTTTAGTTTTATTTTCTACTGTGAAACAATGGCCCGAGGCAGTGCTGCCACCTTGTGGAACAACTGATTAGTGCAAAACAAATTCAATGCCCACGTGCGACCCAAATCGAATTACAAAAATTGAATGGTGCGCGTACAGTACGTGCATACTAGTGGTGACAGAATTACATTTACATTTAGTCATTTAGCAGATGCTTTTATCCAAAACGACTTACAAATGAGGACAATGGAAGCAATCAAAATAGCAATAGAGCAATGAAATGCAAGTGCTATAACAAGTCTCAGTTAGCTTAACACAGTAAACATAGCAAGGTTTTTTTTTTATTATGTAATTGTTAGTAATTAACAAACGGTCCCTCTGTAATCTCTTTGCCACCTCGAAAATTCTCAGTCCCTTAAAGTGTATACGGCCGGGAAGCAAGAAAACACACATCAAATTGTATTCTCAATACTTCAACTTTATTCATAGATACAAGGATATTATATAGGCATATGTCGAGGGGAGTTTCAACCCTTTAACCAATGAGGATATAGATGACATACATATAGGATTTTGGCCAAGAATATGTGTTATATAAAATGGTCACATGTACAGGAAAATATGGACATATTAGGAATAAACTTGGCGAAGGATGCTGAACTATATCCATAGTTCAACACGAACCCCATTACCTTGGAGTCCTATATATCGTGTCCTCGTTTGAACATTTGAACCCAGAAAAGCTAATGCATACATGTGCGCATGCGTACCTCGAATATGAGTAAGAGATATTAAAACATAATACAAGAGAGAGAGATCAGATGGAGGAGGGGGGAATCAGAAGAAGACAACATTGCTCTGTACAGGGAGGGCGAGCAGAGAGGGAGAGGGAAGAAAAGGAGGGTGAAAACATCTGGAACCAATACAGACAGAGAGTGTTTTCTAACAGTAATAAATAAAAAAAACGGATAGATTAGAAAAATAATAAAATTAAAATAAAAAGAATTAGCATCACGTACACTGTACGTGGGCCATCGCATACATGTAACAACTGAAGTATACTTTGGAGTTTACAAAAAACATGGTGGTGCATGTACAGTTTGTGCGTACTGTTCTGATAATGAAATTTGTGTTGCACGCATTATACGCATACACTAGTGTACGTGTAAAAAATATACTAGTATAATATACTTTGGGTTTTTGAATATAGCACACTAGTTGTGATTGTGAATGGTTTCCACTTTGATCGTGGAAATGAGTGGATATGTCCTGTTATGTTTCATGAAAAATGTTTCAAGAATATTGTTTTGCTACATGGCGTCGAGTAGACAGAATTTTTATTTTGGGTGAACTGTCTTTTTGAGGAAATGCTGAAATTGCACAAATGTACCATGGGCAGTGCCGTCTCCCTCGTTCTCATGTTCATAAAGTCTTTTTTGAACTGCTTTAATTTAACCATGAATATAGAATTTTGTTTGCCTGATTGTCTGTTTCACAAAATTGTTTTAATTCCCTATTTTTTTTTAACAGATCCAAAATCATGAACAGTTTTGTACAGGTCTAGTTTGAGTTTGAGTCCGTTGTTTTGGCTGTGTTCACTCAGCGCCGCACTGCTGACCTGTTTCCACAGGAAGATCTGTGTGCACTGTAAGTGTGTGCGGGAGGAGCATGTGGTGCGCTCTGTGCCCGGACAGCTGGAGAGAATGATGTTGAAGCTGGTGTCTGACTTCCAGAGGCACTCCATATCTGACGACGACTCGGGCTGCGCCTCGGAAGAATACGCCTGGGTGCCACCTGGGATCAAGCCTGAACAGGTGAGCAGGCAACATTCAGAAGAATCTATACATACGATGACATTTTAGTAAAGTGTTCATTGATTGGAGAGTTTGCTCTGAATCAGCCAATCACAGCCTCTCTTGCACTCAGTCAAACAAAGCGGATGCTCTTTTCCATACAATGAGACATAATGGTGGCTCACACATCAAGCTTCACTAAGGACAAAACAACATGATGTTGGTTGCCTTGTGTAGTTTTGATATTTAGCATTATGTCTTTTCCACATTTTATTTCATTCTGCCCAGTAACCACCCACTTGCACAGGAAGAGACTGTACTCGTATGAAAAGCGACCAGTCACAGTTTGTGTGTAGTTTTCTAAGCCAATGTAAAATTGTATTATAAGTTTGCATTTTTTCCCCTATCACATAGTAATCATCCTAAAGTAGATATCAATCGAAACCTTAAGTCCAGCTCACATTGCGCGATTTTGGCTACAATTTGGTCGTCTGAGACAAATTTTGAAAATCCTAAAAGATTCCTATAATCCTAGGCTAAAATCTGTAGTCTTTTGACATGTTCACCGACAGCCGATTAATGGCCGTTGCTTCAACAAAATTCTGGCAGTGTCAGAAGATTTGGCGCACTGCTCTGCAGTGTGACTGTCTCCGTTTTTCAAGACAAGCCATTATCAGAATTAGAGATTTCTAAAATCGCCATAAATTCCAGCGCTCCCATCCTCCGCTCACGGAATTCATATGATATGTTGCCTTTGCTATATAAACACCGGTTGTGCACTGTTTTCATTTGGGTGTGTAGTGCAGCTTACACTATTCTTCTTAAATACGCCGCTATTGTCGCCATTAATTTACTTTTCATGATAGCCAAAATTTCAGCATCGCATGTAATGCAGCTCGCAGTCACTGAGTGTGTATGGGCTGATAATGTGAAACTCCAGTCAAGTTTTCTTGCGCGCACCCGTTTTTAACATGTCTTGACTGCTGTACAGTCTGACATTAATGACAACTGAGATCCCACCATTTGACATGATCATCATGTTCGTAGACTGGCAAGCAACAATCGTAAAGGACTATTAAACACGCACAGTTTGAGCCCGGCTTTAAACACTCAAAATTCATCCTGTGAAAGCAGTTTTAAAATCAGACATTGCATTACCACGGAAACTGTACTTTAAATCCTTTTAGCAGGCTCCTCCCGCTAGTGGGCGGTGTCAAGTGTCATATTACAAAATTAACTTTTTCTAATCTTGACAAAACATCATTGGAAAGGTCTATTTTGACAGAAATGCATACCTGGGGGCTATTTTTGGTATAAATCTCACTGGAACCTCCATTTTTGTGATGTCAACTTCAAATTTGGAACATACCTTAAATTGATGTATAGCTTTGATTTCAAAATACTCCAAAATATTTTGTAACGTATAGGCTATATTTGAAATAAAATATTTAAAAAAAAAACAGTACAGCACATTTTCTTTACAGGAAACAAACTTCTATAACTTTTTTTACACTTTTATTTTTTTTTATGTTTTTCACTTTCAATAATCTGCAGATTGTCTTCTTTAAAAAGAGACCAACCTTAGGTCTGTATTTCAAAGCGTTCATGAATTTCATATGCATTTTCACGTATATATCCAGAAAAGGGGGGTGACAGTTAATTATCTGTGTTCGTGTATGTACAGGTGTATCAGTACTTCAGCTGTATTCCAGAGGACAAGGTTCCATACGTCAACAGTCCAGGAGAGCGATACCGTATTAAACAGCTTCTACACCAGCTGCCGGCCCATGACAGCGAGGTAAAACTGCTTACATGCTCACACTCGTCTCTGGATCCCAAACCCCCAGCTGTGAATCCTGAATCTATGAACCCTACAGCCTGGTCTTAGATTCTGATCTGAAATCAGAGATGAATACTAGCTTATGCACACTGAGTACTTATTTTTATAGTAGTAAGCAGTATGCAATGTTATTTATTTTTTTAATTATTAAAAACAACAGTGCAGTACGCTACATGTTGTCAGGTGAACATGAATGTCAGGGGGGGGGGGGGGGGGTGAAGCAGCACAACTGTTTTCAACATTGATAATAACAAGAAATTTTTTTGAGTATAAAATCAGCATATTAGAATGATTTCTAAAGGATCATGTTACACTGAAGATTGGAGTAATGAAGCTGAAAATTCAGCTTCGATCACAGAAGTAAATTACAGTTTAAAATATATTAAAATACAAAGCAGCTCTTTTAAATTGTAATAATTTTTTGTAATATTCATTTTTATATTTTTCATGATAAGCAGAAGAGAGAAAAAAACGTACCCAAATGCATTTATGTTGTATATTATGGTAGTAAAAAAAAAATTATGCAAAATAAAATTTCTTAGGGTGCAATGTTTTTTGATGTTTTCATGAATTTCACCATCCATATTCACCGGATTTTATTAATGACATTGATAATGTCTTGTAAATGTGTGTGTGCACAGCCTCAGTACTGTAACTCTCTGGATGAAGAAGAGAAGAAAGAATTGAGGTTATTCAGCCAGCAGAGGAAGAGAGAGAATCTGGGCCGCGGCATCGTTCGACTTTTTCCAGTCACCATGACCGGAGCCATCTGTCAACAGGTAGAGAAACAGAGACACCACAGTGTGACAGTCTGCTGATCACATCAGCCCTGATGCTTCTTCTCATCTGTAACGTCACCTTGAAATCACAACTCACTGCTTCACTGCCCGGGAAAAAGAGTGCATACTTCTCTGAGTATCACTTCAGCTGAAGTATGGAGTGTGCATTGAGCTACTTGAGCTGAAGAGGCTCTCATCTGGCATGTGGCTTCAGGAAACTGTTTGATATGCTGTGATCAATTCAAACTCCAGCCTGAGCAGAGCCAAGGCAGATATCATATGTACTAGATAAAAGCGCATACTTTCCATACACCCCCTGCAATATTTCAAGGGTTTTGCCACATTTCTACACCCATAATGCACTCCAGCTGATGAGTAGCTGCCAGGAGGAGAGGCCGTTTGTGTCGTGTTGTGTTGTGTGAATACTCAGTCTTTTTATGTCATCAAACACAGAAGTAACAAAATTAGTACATAATCATTCTTTCATATTTATACTTAGAAATGTTTTAATTTCGGCTTTATTATAGCTGTTTATTATAGAGGCTTCGCTCTGCTAAATAACAAGACAGTGCTGTTAAAGAGTGCTAGACGTGATGTGAAGCAGATTTACCATTTTAGTTGTGGTAAAATCAATGTAACACAAGCTTACGTGGCTTAAATGTAAATGTATTGGTGATAAAATCAAGATAAACCATTATTTAGCGTGGTATTAAAGAATTACAAAAAATATTTATGACTCATCCTGCAGTTTATGTTTAGTAATAATAGTAATCATAATAATAATAATAAATTGTATTATATTAATTGTACTAAATTATATAAATTAAATCAAATAAAGAGATATATTACTATAGTAATAATACTGTTGTACTGTAAAAAAATTGAGTATTTAAATATAATAGTAATTATAATTATTTTACAGTACAATTAATAATACTTATTATTAAGTTACATATAAAAAATACTTTTATATTGTAATGTAAAAGTGGAGTATTTATTATTATTAATAATAATAATAATAATATTTTATAGTGCAAATATTATTTATTATTATACTACTAGTACTATAGTGACATTTATTAAATGTTTTAGTCATTTATTTCTGCATTTTTGTCATTTTTATTATAATTTGTTTTTATTTGATTTTCAACAAACTACGTAAAAATTAGATATATTTTATTTCAAGGAAAAAAACGTTTTTATATGGTTTTAGTTTTAAGTAACTATAATGCTGTTATAATAATACTATACAATCGAATTTGATCCCAGCCTCGCATCAATGAGTATTTAATAGCAGTAATTAATTTAAACACTATTTATAATTACAAAAAGTTATTTCACTATTAGACCAAATTTTTGCATGCAAGGTCAAAAAAGCATTTATTTTTACTTTATTTGCTCAACGACTCCCAAACAATTCGCTCAACGATTCATTTTTCCAAACCCTTCCTTTGCGTGATGCTAATCTGCGGTGATTGGTCCGATTGGTCTCAGTTTCATTTCATCTCACCTGTAACGCCTGATAAAGCAGTGTTTGTGAGCGCAGTGCTGCTTTGTGTACGGTGTTACCGGGGAAACCGCTATTTTTACCCCTCCAAAAGCCGCACCTAGTGGCAAAGAATGAATTAGCATTTTTATTCAGACCAACGCGAAAAGACCAACAAGTGGGCGGGCAATATGCTAATGTTTCATGTTCACGTCAACATGAACCGGCTTGGGATTCGTTTTAAAAACGACTCGTTTCAATGATTCAGAGTCGACTCTTTATACACAGTGCACTTTCAGATTTAAAACTTTGCAGGATGTTTTCATTCACCTACACACTGCATGAAAGGTACTTTTCAAAATAATAGCAGCACTTTAAATGAACTAATAGAGTTCAGTCTGGCCCTGCATGATTTATTGAGTGGGTTCAAACACACGTACTGTTGCTGTGTATGTGACTTATGCAGTTTCTTGCTCCTCCTGTGGTGATCAGATCATCTTTGCGGACGAGTGTACGGAGGCGGAGGGCCGGCACTGGCACATGAAGCACTTCTGCTGTTTCGAGTGTGAGGCGGCGCTGGGTGGCCAGCGCTACATCATGAGAGAGAGCCGGCCGTACTGCTGCCACTGCTACGAGTCTCTGTACGCCGAATACTGCGACACCTGTGGAGAACATATCGGTGAGAGCAGACTGACAACACTGTATACCAGCACTAGATTGCATGGACATGACACACAGTGAGAGAGTGGGAAAAAGATCAAAAGAACACGGAGTAAATACAACTAAAATATATAGCAGAATTTTTGAGGCTGAACAAAAGCATTTCATCAAAGCGAAAAAAATTACATTGAATTTAGCATATTTTTGGATATTTTATCTCCCACTTTTTATCATAATATCACATCACTATAAATAATAATATATATATATATTTTACATCCGTTTAAATTAAAGGCAATGCAACAAATACTACCATTATGTATAAATATAATTTAAATAACATGCATAATATACAGTGCCCTCCACTAATATTGGCACCCTTCGTAAATATGAGCAAAGGCGGCTGTGAAAATAAATCTGCATCGTTTATCCTATTGATCTTTCAAAAAATGCACAAAATTCTAACCTATATAAACAATGCAGATTTATTTTCACAGCCGCCTTTGCTCATATTTATCAAGGGTGCCAATATTAGTGGAGGGCACTGTAGATATTTGCATTACAATATTGAGGATTTAGGGGGAAACTTATTATTTGTCTTATAATGAAACTTATCATGAAATTTAAGTCTCATATTAAAGCCTCAAAATTATAATAATCTGTATTATGAAATGCCACCAGAACATCAGAAGCTGCTATCATTTAAAAGTTTGGGATCAGCAAGGTTTTTTTTTTTCAAATTATTTTTATTCAGCAAGGATGCATTACATTTGTCAGAAGTTGCAGTAAACTTCTATTGCAGATTTTTTTATTCAAATAATCCTGAAAACAAATATCAGTCTCCACAAAAATATGATGCAGCATAACTGTCTCAGAAATGTTTCTTGAGCATCAAATCGGCATATTATACTGATTTCTGAAGGATCATGTGACACTGAAGACTAGAGTAATGCTGCTGAAAATTCAGCTTTGATCGCAGGAATAAATTGCATTTTAAAATATATTAAAATAGAAATCTTTTTTTATTATTGTAATAATATTTTACTGTATTTTTGATCAAACAAATCCAGCCTTGATGAGTATAAGACTTCTTTCAAAATAAATTAAAAGATGGCCTCAAACGTTTGAATGGTAATGTAAATAAACTGCCTTTTTGTTATTATTATTATTATTATTATTATTATTTTCTACAATACTACTTAATAGGCTTAAGTTACTTTTAAAAGGATGCACTAGTTGCATATATAAAACCTTTATTTGTTGCGCTGCCCACTTGCCATACCATGAACACACTTGATTTCTTGATTCTTGAAAAACACCCTTGATTGTTTTTACAAACTGAAGCACGTGTTGAAGTTCTTTCTGTGTAAATGACAGCATTGCTACAGATGCAGAAGCTTAACTTGCATTCCATTCGATGACGGCAGTAAAAAGCTCAGTAATTACAGAGAAATGCTGTGCTTCCTGATTGAAGGGTTTGAGCGTTTGACTTCCTCGCTCTCTGTCTGCAGGTATAGACCAGGGTCAGATGACGTTCGAGGGCCAGCACTGGCACGCGTCCGAGGCGTGTTTCTGCTGCGCCTGCTGTCGGCTCCCTCTGCTGGGCAGACCCTTCCTGCCTCGCGGCGGACTCATCTTCTGCTCCCGCTCCTGCTCGCTCGGGGAAGACCCAGACAACTCTGACTCCTGCGATTCTGCCCTGCAGAGCAAACCAGTGTCACACAAGACTGTTCAAAACCAGCAGAGCACTTCCACACCACGGCCACAGGAGGGAGCCAACGTCAGAGCAGCGAGCACAACAGCCAACGGGGGTCATTTTACACTGGACAGCAAAGGTACATGTTATCATGCGTTTTTCTATGAAACTTCACACATATGCATGATTTTCTCAAAAAAACAAACAAACACACATAATTCAGGTGCATCTCACAAAAGCTAGCTAGAAATATCATTTCCAAAGTCAAAAATAAAAAAATATTTAGCATAAAGGAAAAGACTATTTTTAGTAATATTAAGAAATGTGACATTGTTTTCATGACAAGTAATAATATTTTCCCAAATATTCTCATTGTTGTGATATGTCTTAATGTTTTATTTCTTTAGGTTTGTTTTAATCTTAATGATTAAGCACATTTTCTCACAGAATTCTTATTTTTAATTTTTTTTAAAAATGAAGAAAAGAGATATTCTTCAAATTAAAGTGCATTTGTAAACATACATAACAGTAGTATTTTTTTTCTCTCTTTGTTAACTTGGAAAAAATAAAATCTCTGAAATCTCATTAATCTCAATGGTGATTAAACCCAATTAAGCAGTTTTCCTCCCAAAATTATCATAACAGTTAAATAAAATAAATGTTATTTTAATTGAAAAGTATAATTGTATGTATACATAATTTCAAAAAAAGTTTGCAGACAAGATGATCAGTGTTTAGGTCCTAAAATAGCTTTGATTTTCTTCATTATTATTATTACTTTTGTTACTTTTATTCAGCAAGGATGGATTACACTGATCAAAAGTGTCAGTAAAGACATTTATAATGTTACAAAAGATTTCTATTTCAAATAAAAACACTTTCAAAGAATCCTGAAAAAAAGTATCACAGTATCTCCACAAAATATGAAGTAGCAAAACATTGATAATAATCAGAAATGTTTCTTGAGCAGCAAATCAGCATATTAGAATGATTTCTGAAGGATCATGTGACACTGAATGATGCTGAAAATTCAGCTTTGCATCAAAGTTACGTACAAGATTTAATAAAACAGAAAACGATTATATTAAACTGTACTATTATTTCACAATATAACTATTTTGTATCAGATAAATGCAGCCTTGGTGATCGTAAGAGACGACTTCTCTCAAAAACGAAACAAAACCAAAACTTTTTTTAACATATTACCAAAACATAACTAGGACGATGTGTATGTGATCAGCAATTGTAAAAATGTCCTCCATGCATGTAATTGACACTGTTTGTATTCAGAAGAATCTCTAATTATCCGCTTGTTCGTTCTGCAGGTGATCTCACCTCTTTCCATCCTATTCCGAATGGCCAACCTCCACCGTATGAACAAATACACACACAACACTCACAGCTCCATCCAGCAGCCAATGACAGGACAGCATTCGTTTGCAAGGACCAATCAGGCATCAGCACACAGCAGGTGAATCACCGGATAAACATACAGAAGTTGAAGTTATTTCTAATAATATTTCTGTTATAATATTAATATTAATATAATACTAATATTTTTGTTCAAATAGATGAAGCCTTGGTGAGCATAAAATACTTCTTTCAAAACAAAAAAAATCTTAGTTATTCTAAACTTAAATTATTCTATTGACCTGTAGTGTGTGTGTGTGTGTGTGTCTGTGTGTCTGTCTGTCTGTCTGTGAATATGGCCTTGCAGAAAAAAGCATTAACATGTGCTTTATAAGTATTAATATACAGCCAATATGCTAGTACTATTGCATGCTAATAATCAACTAGTTAATAGTGATAATTGTTCCTAAACTAATATTTTACCAGCTTATTTAATGTTTCTGAAGTATCAACAAAAAATAACAGGCAGAAAAAAAATGTTTTGAACAATGGTGAAATCATAAAATGGTGTCATAGATTGGTTTCTGAAGATCATGTGACACTGAAGACTGAAGTAATGATGCTGAAAATTCAGCTTTGATCACAGGAATAAATTACATTTTAAAACATACTAAAATAGAAGTTATTTGAATTTCTAATAATATTTCTGTTATAATATTAATATAATACTAATATTTTTGTTCAAATAGATGAAGCCTTGGTGAGCATAAAATACTTCTTTCAAAATAAAAAAATCTTAGTTATTCTAAACTTAAATTATTCTATTGACCTGTAGTGTGTGTGTGTGTGTCTGTCTGTCTGTCTGTCTGTCTGTCTGTCTGTCTGTGTGTGTGTGTGTGCCTGTGCCTGTGCGTGTGCGTGTGCGTGTGTGTGCCTGTGCGTGTGCGTGTGCGTGTGCGTGTGTGTGTGTGTGTGTGTGCCTGTGCCTGTGCGTGTGCGTGTGCGTGTGTGTGCCTGTGCCTGTGCGTGTGCGTGTGCCTGTGTGTGTGTGTGTGTGTGTGTGTGTGTGTGTGCATACATGCTGGCTTTTTGAAAGCAACATCCAAAAGCACAGCTAAAGAAAATAAGATTTGTTCAGTTGAACCTTTGAATCAAAATTTTATTGTTAAGAAAATGTATTTAAGAAATAAGGGAAATAAATACAAATAACTTCAAACCAACATTTGGTCCCAGTCTGAGCACCTTAGTAGTTTCTGAAGGTTTAGCATCATCTTTCGCTTTTGTTAGAAAAGCACAAAAATTCACCCCCATTTCATTTGTCATACCCAACAAAGTGGTCTAATATTTTTCTACCCTGTTTATGGAAAGTGACTCAAATGCCTTAAAAAATCAAAATACTTTCTGAGCTCCAAAGCACCTGACAAGGTTGTGTTCGAAATGCTTAAAGACTGGATTTCCCGAACAGGGGTCTGTGAATTCACAAAAGGCTAATAATTATTTCAATAGAACATAATATTAAAGGTCTGTACAGTCTTATTAAACCTTGATTATCAAGTCATGAATTATTTTAGGAAAGACACTTGTGTTTAACATCATTACAACAAAGCTGTTGGTGCACTTATAGTCACACATTTCATTGTTTACTGTTTTTTTTCATCCAAATTCTGGTTTGGACAGATGGATTCAGTAGTGATGAGGCCAGACTGAAACCAGGGAGATAAAACTAAAAATTCAAGAAGTTTATCATGTCATGATTGCTTCAGGGCATAGTTCACCCAAACAATACTAGTTCTGTCAGCATTCACTCACCCTACAAACATGCATGACTGACTTTCTTCTGTAGAACATAAAAGGTGAATTTTTGATATATAACGAGTGAACCAGCACTAGGGCTGCACAATAATGGTTAAACTGTTCATCACAATTAGTTGTGTTAATCACAATTTGTTTTTGTTTTTTTCACATAAGCACAAATCAAGAGAATGCAGATTTAGTCACAGGCTAACAATGTGAAACAAAACAGACTGGCTATATGACACTTTTGAGTGGAAGATCTACGCTCATCAGCACTTTTTCCATAATGTAGAGAGAGCATGTGTGCATGGTTGCCAGGATGGGAAGATTAAGTAAAACACTGCAGAAAATGTATCCATTTAGGGGACGAGCTCTGATAGGGTGATTTGAACCCTTGACACCTGGCAACCGTGACCATGAAAGCTTGTGGAGGCTTGTTACCAATCTAAGATAAAGCTAAATGCTTTGGCAACATTGTGTTGCACAATCATACTAATAAAGCTTAATTGAATTGAATTAAAGCTAAATGAATGAAATGTTTTAATTAAATAAATAACCAGCGGGCAAATATTGCCGATGATTATGCCTAATCAATTGTGAAAAGCAGAAATCCTGATCATGATTAAAATAGAATTTATCGTGCAGCACAAACTGTAGGACTCTGGCTGTGATGCTTTAAAAAAAAAAAGATTAAAAAACACTACAAAAAGTCTTCTGAAGTCATACAATAATCTCATGCAATATCTTTGTGTGAAGACAAATGATTAAAATTAAGGTCAATATTCACAGATAATCATTTAAACCAGTGAGCTAAAGAACTGGATCAGACTGTTTCACGATGTCTCAGGCTGGTTTTGTGAACTGGATCAGCAGATTTACAGAAAAGATCTGACTGGAAATAATGAGTTCTTCATGAATCATGAAAGACAGTTGTGAGATTTGTAGCGAGGGTGAGTAAACGATGACAAACTTTAGTTTTTGGGTGAACTATTCACAGTATGTTACAGTAAAATGTTATGACTTGTATCAGTCGGGATCTCATTTGATCATGTTTCCTTCAGATGGGTCGTACCACAGCAGTTTCCGTCGGGGAAGCGGTGGCCACCATCCCACGGAGAAGTGGCTCAGACGCTCCCGAGCTCCACGAAGCGACAGACCTCGTCTGGAAACCCTGGAGTGCAGGGTAGGAGACCGCAGGCGGTCCAACAGCGTCCTAGACGGCGGCCTTACCCTGCACTCCACCCGCTACCGGCACGAAGACTCCTGCTCCACCTGCTCCTCTTCCTCAGAGTCCGAGGAGGAAGGCTTCTTTCTGGGCCAGCGCATCACTCTGCCACCGCAGCTGACGGGCGAAGAGAGAGCAGCAGAAGGACAGACAGAGGACGAGGACAAGAGCCGAAGAGGAAGCTTCAGGAGAAGAAGGACACAGAGTCTCAGTAGAAAAGACAAGGACAAGAACTGCATACTGTCCTGAGACCAAGACGTGTGTGTTAAAAACTGAAGAACGCACTCAAGACTCTCTGAACCAGCAAGCTGCTCAGTCCAGATCAAAGTCGATGAGGGACATTTTGTATGATAAAAATAGAAACTCTCTTACAATTCTATGCATCTGTGTAACAGTATTTTTATAGAGATGATGATATATTATCCAATATCAGCTTCAGTATCAGGGTGCTTTGTCAAATTTATTGGCATTATTATTCGGGCCGAGGAACAGTTCTAATCCAAATTCTGTTTGTTACAGGAAAAGTAGAACTACAGTTTCTAAAGTTATGTGAGAGAGCTAGGTGGTAAGGTCACACAACACAAATATTCGGCACAATAAATTCACTCCAATTTTGGCATGCTGTTCAGTATGGAAGCTTGTTTCCACCACTGAATAAAAATAAATGGTCATTGCGACTTTTTCTTTTCTCTCGCAATTCTGACTTTTTATCTCGCAATTGCGAGTTTGTGTCTTGCAATTCTGACTTTTTTTCTCATAATTATGAGATATAAATTCACAATTGCAAGTTATAAAGTAGGGATGTACCGATACCACTTTTTCCAGTACTTGCTCGATACCGATACTTTTATTTTTGGTAATTGCCGACACCGAGTACCGATACCGATATTTTTATTGCATTTGTAAATTTTTTTAAATATTGGGTACAGGAACCAAAAGAGTATGTATAATGTTAGTTGGTTAACTTAATTTATCAAATAGATACAGTCAAACCAAAATGTATTCAGACACCTTCAACATTTCTTACATTATCACAGTTTATTCGCTATAGTTTAGAAAATGGTAATAAAATATGACAAGAACTCAGAGTTAAACTGTGTCAGAACAAATTCAGCTTGATAATGTTAGATAACTTTGATAGAAAGGTATGTAATGGATTACAATAAACCAAAAATAATTCAGACAACTGTTAGTATGACAGTATTTACACAATTATCAATACTTTGTTGGGCAACCCTTAGCCTTAATGACAGTCTGTAGTCTCCTGGGCGTGCTGTCACCCAGCTTCCTGCAAACCTCAACTTCAATGTTTTTTACCCCCAGACTCTGTCTGAATAATTTCTGCTCCCAAATGTTTTATCAGTTTTACTAGTAGTCCACTGTATGAAGGATTTTTGGGTATGATTTGTCACAGTTTACTTTATTTTGCTGTCCTCACTTACATAAATGAACTATAGTGTCCTGCACCCACTAGTAAAAATTATATCTGGTCTCTGAATCATTTTTGGTTTGACTGTATATCCTTCGGTTATTTTCACACTTAATTATGCCTATTAAAATGTATTTTACAAGTTTTTGTTATTTTCACTGTTAATGTTTTTGCTCTGTGGTACATCATCTTTAATTTAATAGCATTAGAGCTGCTCCATTGCAGCGGCTTAGTACTGTAATCACGCGCTTTGCTGTAATAATGCAGGGAACCACTCGTTATAAATCTCCTAACTGTGATATTTTCAAAAAAAGAAGTTGTGTTTTTTCATCTGAAACGTGCTGCGGTTTATATTCCAAAGCCACTCATATAATGCAGAAACACTCAAGCAAGCAAAACACGCGCAACGCGTGCACGTATTTGTACTGATGCAGAATAGTACAGCCCAGCGCATTTCACACAGGCTGCTAGATTCACTTTCGCCAGAAAGTAGTGTATGCCTAAGATTGAAAATAAATTATGTTTATAGTGAATGCCCCTATAAATGGTCTTATTTTTACGATTCAGTTTTAATCCAAATGATGCGTGTGCTAAGTGAGCGAACATCAAAGATCACACAACATCTCTCTCTCTCTCTCTCTCTCTCTCTCTCTCTCTACCATTAAGTAACTTGTGCATTGTTTTACTTGTTTATGACACATCCGACCGAACTAGAAACAGTGATGTCTGTGAGAAAGGTATATTCACTCGACAAGCTCGCGCATCTGCGCTGCCACACGCTCAATCCACTCAGCGTGCTTTATCAGCTCGCGCACATCAGCTATACAGGCGTTAATACTGAATGTTTAACATTATATTCATTGCATACATATACTTCGTATACATCCTTAATCTAATAAGTCTGTTGTTCTGTTGTCAGTGTTTCTTTGTCTGAATATGGCACTTATCACATGCTGTGTGGTATCGGCGTTTGGTATCGGGGCATTTTAACGAGTACGAGTACAAGAGCTCAGTATCGGGCCGATACCAGTATCGGTATCGGTGCATCCCTATTATAAAGTCAGAATTACATGATACAATGTCATAGATGCTTGTTAAAAAGTCAGAATTGAAAAAAAAAACAGAATTGGGAGAGAAATTTTTGCGATATAGACTTGCAATTGTGGAAAAAGTCAGTATTGTGTAGCTTATATCTTTATTTCTTGCAATTGTGAGTTTATATCCTGCAATTCTGACTTTATAACGACTTATCTCGCAATTCTGAGAAAAAAAGACAGAATTGTGTGATAAAGTCACAATTACCTTTTTTAAATGTTTAATTCAGTGGTGGAAATGGGCTTTCATAGTTTAGAACAATACGTCAGACGGAATGCATGAAAATGCAATTTCACTCATCGTACGTGGCGCGTACAAGTCAGCAGAATTACTCCAGCACAAAAAAAACAACTTTCCGTTACCTTTTCATTCCGTTGACGTTTGCTTGGAAATCAAAACATTATTCACGTTTTCTAACAGCCGTTTAGAATTTTGTATTTATATTGTTTATTATAAAACGGATGGTTCCGGTCCTTGATTCTGATTGGTTGAGCCGCGTTCGAAGCTGTTGTAAATTACACTACAAACACACACCTTTGTTTACTTCTGTCTGTTGCTCGGCCACCACTTTGTTGGAACTACAACCGTTTCTGAGGAACTACATCGTTTGGTGGAAGAATACTGTTTTTATTAATATTACACTTTACTTGCTCGGTTTTATTTTGTGAAACCTTACTACGTATATGCAATAACCGTTTTATAAAAGCAATAAGCCCTGTGAAGCCGTGGTTTACAGTGATTTTATAACAGCTAAGGGGCGTTGTTAGGCACGATGCGAAGCGGGCTTCTTGGGGCTTATTGCTTTATCAAACAACACCAAACACAAAAGACAAGAAAGCTGCTTCTGGATTCTTCCTCTGCTATTCACTGTTGCTTAGAAAAAGCTGTTTAGTATATCCGTGCGCGCCACCAAGTTTTAGCTTCATGTAACAGCAGCTTTGGGCATGTGACAGAAAAAGTGTGAACATTATTGGCTGGTTGGCCAGCTTTATTCACAGTGCAAAATAGAGATTAGATCACCGAAACCAAAATAGGGATTAGAACACTGAAACACAGAAATTGTTTATTGGACCGGATTTTTGCGACAAATATTTGTCAATGTAAACAATACTGGAATCAGAGCCATGGTAACTATGCTCAAAATGGAATATAAGCATACTGTAGCGCAGTGTTTGCAAGAGTAATGCGATACTGTGTTGTCATATGACTTCATAAAAATAGTCCTCTTGTGTTTTTAAATCTAATTTTGAGTTCAAATTTCTTTGGCGATCAAATAATGAAATAAGGTGTTAAAAACCACAGATGTGCAATTGCATGGAAAATGTGTGGTCAAATCAAGCACATTGCATTGTGGGATGGATTACCCAGTGTTCGCCCTACTAAATACTGCACGTTTTGTCAAATTTAGACAAATGTATGACAAATATTCCATGCCTAAGGAAAATATTAATTGTATGAACAGTATAGTTGTTGTATGCTATTCACGCAGCCTGTGTGTTGGTGAAAGATCATTCCATTTATTCAGCAAAACCAGTTAAAAATCATCGAAATGAGCTGTTGTTATATTCAGTGTCAGCATTAAAAGTAATGTATTACAATATTGCAATACTCCTTTAAAAAAAGCAACTAACTGTGTTTTTACTTTTTTTATGGAAAGCAATGTTACTTTTGCATCACTTTTTCTCATCTGGACAGGGCTTGCTTGTTTGTTTTTAATATAAAAAAAAGTTCTATTTTTGGCAAATGTAAAAGCCCTTTCACACCAAAAGGGAAATGAATAAGCCTCATTTTTTTTTAAATTTTAAAAAATATTGCAGGTTTGTGTCATATTCTGAGTTTGCATTTCACTGTGTTTATCCATTTTGAGGAACACTGAATCTGTTTTTGTGCAGGCGAGCTGAGTAAATGCACGTTCACATTTAGTCTGGAACTACAGGAAGCATCATGTTCACACAGCCTCTGCACACAACGCCTCTGCACTCACTCCTGATTTCTCTCAACATGAGGAAAGCAGAGCTGTCAGTCAGTAAATGGGAAAACAAAGTAACCGGCATTTACTTATTTGAAAAAAGCAACTCAAACAGGTTCATGTAAATTAAAAAGTAATGCATTACCCTCAACACTGGTTATATTTCTAAAATATTTAGTCTCTTAAGTTCCACATCTGCTAAAGCCGTAGTACAAGTTAAAAAGTGCTAAATCTAAAACAAACTAATTTAACAAGTCAACAGTTGGTGCTTGTTTGACTGGTTTTGAGAGAGCTGTGTAATTTGCACTTGTTTAAGGTTTAACTCTATGTGAAACTTCTTGAAATGCAAACACAATGTTGTGGAGTTATTGTATTTGAGCATGTACTAGAAACACAAGTCAACAAACTATAGCAAAAAGTCATAAGTCTACTACAAGCCATATCAGAACAGAATGTGGGAAAATATAGTCTTTATCTCCTCGTAAACTGTATTATATGTAAATATTGGCATTTCAAACCTCTCTGTGTGTAAATGAGAGTTTAAATAAAGACACATGACTTTCACTTTTGCAAAATAGAGATCGATGTTAGAATTGTATTTTTTATAAACAACATGGTGATGGTTTTATATTCTTGTCAAAATGCTCTCTGGCTTAAAATATTTTTATAAACTTTTCAAAGTTATCTTTTTGAATGAGAAAAAATAAAACACTTGATCCTAAACATTATGTTCATATATTTTTTGGTAACACTTTAGAATAAGGTTCCATAATGTATTACCTAACATGAACAAACAATGAATAATACATTTATTACAGTATTTATTCATCTTTGTTAATGTTAGTTAATGAAAATACAGTTGTTCATAGTTAGTTCATGTTAATTCACAGCGCATTAACTAATGTTAACAAGCACAACTTTTGATTTCAATAATGCATTAGTAAATGTTGAAATTAACATTAAGATTAATAAATGCTGTAGAAGTATTGTTCATGCTTAGTTCATGTTAACTAAAGTAGTTAACTAATGAACCTTATAGTAAAGTGTTACCTATTTTTTGTATGTTAAAGTACATTATTAGGGTACTACACAGAAAGGACAATTACAATCACATCCTGTTTTATCATGCAAATTTTGCTATAAATTGTCACTCAGAAATATCACTCTGCAAATCAGAATATATACATATACACACACACACACACACACATATATATATATATATATATATATATATATATATATATATATATATATATATAAACAGCTAATTCCAAGATAAAAAAAAGAAAAATATATTGTCTTCTCAAAGATAATTGACTATCAACTAACAGCTTGTCTCTTCTCTACATACAGCAACACTTAGAGATTCCAGACAAAAGGTGGCATGAGAATTTTCTCAAGGCAAAGGTTGCTTTTTTCTTCAGTGATCAGGTGACAAAGGGTATATGGGACATACTTCCTGGAGAGTGAGTGAGTTTCTGATTGGATGGGACAAAAACAAAAAAAAAGCATAGGAGGAGTGTTTGTGGAGAGGGTCAAACCGGTCTGGCAAGTTTTACTTTCTCCTTAACACAAACACACGCGTGCACCATCTGCCTTGATTTCTTTCTGCTCTCTGACACACAAAAGACATTACTGACTGAATCCTGACTCTGTCTTACCTGACTCAAACGTTAGAGTTAAAGAGGAAACCGGTACTGTTGAGTTTCCTGAAACAGTCACAGGTATGTTTGGCTGTGTGTGCATTGTCTGTGTATGTGTCTCAATGTGATCTATACCTTTAAACGATGTGGCTAACATACAGTATACTTTACTACATTCTGTCTTGTTTTAATTCCCCGTAACTGTTGTTTTGCTTCTAATCCTGGACCATGTAGAGACATGCCTGTCCCTGGAATCTGTAAGTGAAACCTTGTGTTCCATTTATTCTTGTTGACCTTATATTTTTTCTTGCCTTAAGGGTTCGATTTCATATTTGCTTCATCTTGAATTATAACCTCAATGTGTTTAAAACAGGTATATAGAAATATATATATATATATATATATATATATATATATAT